TCAGACTTGTCGATATCTTAAGACAACTTCCATTGGACATGGTCTTTGCCCTACACAGTAGTCATCCTTGTTTCTCCGGAAAACAGTTAAAAATCTGATTCCTGGCTCATTCTGTTCAATTAGCATGAAGTTGAGACGGAACACGCCGAACGCATGAAGTTGGAGCAGACGCTTCTCGAGGTGACCGCCGAAATGGATGCCGCTCGTCTGCGCTTCGAGGACTCCACCAATGCACAGGCTCGCCAGCTGAAGGAGCTCACTCGGCAGACGGAAAGTCTGCAGACGGAACTCGCCGACCGTGACAAAGCTCTCACTTGCCTACAACAACTCCGCAACGGCCAGTCGCGCTGCGCCACGGGTCTGGTCGTCGGTGAGTCCCTTGCGACGACTATACAGGGTTTACTTTGGTTACAATTAAAGGCAACAGTAGTTTAAATAGTGCACCTCATATAATCCTACTCTCAGCACTTGGCCCCAAGGAAATGGTGATTATAGGGTTTTACGGGTGGGGAATTAGGACACGCAGTGGAATAAACTTTGATAAATAATAAATGCATTTTTATTTTACTGTATATAGAAGTGCCGTTGATTTATATCTGTAGTTTTTCCAAATCTGTATTATCATTTAGAGTATTGCGGAAAAACACATGATCAAAATGCAGGTTTCCTGAAATTCCTGAAGAAATAGAAATGGTGGTTAGGAGGTCGTCTACTTCAACTTAATTGAGGTCCAACTTTCCGTTCTGGAGATTGATTAGTACGTACAATTTACATGCGGGACAACTCACGCCCAGCGGCCGCGGGAAACAAATTCAACTACTTTTTTCACTTGGCACTTACTTCTAGAAATTTTATTCCATTTTCACACCCCTCAAACCCCTAGAGTTACCGTTTCTGTAGGACAAAATGCTGGGGGTAGGGGTATATGGGGGGCACTAGCTAAACTACATTGGTTCAATTAAAATACCTGTGCATTTTTGAAAGAGAGAATGGGCTCTTACTTATTCTACTGATGGAGGCTCATCACATGCCTACAGTATGGCGAGTGCTGCAGGCAACATTCCGCAATTTGAAAAAGACCGGTAATCACTCGCAAAAGACATTGAGTAAGGTTGCAATACTCTTTATCCTGCGGTCCAATTTCAATTATTATCAGTCACGGTAGGATTCCGACTCTGTGATGAGCTTCTTTCTGACCGCTGTGAAAAATTTCATTCTGTAAAAAATGGCTACTTATATACAGTAGTCGCCACAGGCCATGCAATTTTCATAAGTTTGTATAAGATTG